CCTGCTGAGTGGACTTTCTGTTGTTTCTCTAGCCTATAGGTTTCTGAAAAGTCTGTTTCATGGGAAAAGTCCCTCTGAAGTTCAAATGATACACTATCTTTTTCTTTGCACATTTCCTTTGTCAAGTAATTACCAGTCTGGATATAAATATCTACAGTCCAGAGGACCTGGGAGCCTATTTCTGTCCCAGTAGCTAGTGGAAATGGGCCCCCCATATCACCTCCTCCCTCCAGATGTGCGATCACAGCAGGTTTGAGAAGCGGAAAACCCAGGGAGGCCACATTCCCGTAATTCTCCAACATCACATCCCTGTACAGGGCCCTCTGTGCAGGAGACAGGTCATCCCATTCCGTCTGAGTGAAGTACATTGCCACATCCTCAAAGGTCACCAACTTCTGAAACAACAGGTTCCTGCTGCCCCAGGGCCAATTCCATGGCTCAGACCCTGGGGCCAGGCTGTCAGGAGCAAGGCTGCCATCACTTGGATGGCCTCTCAGAGAAGGGCTGGAACTCTAAGAGTGGAAGGCTAGGAGCAGGGTTAAACAGGAGCACACTGTTGGCCACAGGAGGATTGGCAATTTTCTCTCTCTCAACTGGGTGGTATGGTCATGCGTGCTCATTTTACTTCTATATAGTTACATATATCCGGGACCGGGTGGAAGTGAGGGCCTCCGCAGTGGGCAGCTCCGCCGAAAGTCATATTTTTTGACATATTTTTTTTCTGTGTAAAAAAATGCATCATGTGGGACCAGCAGTAGGCATAATGGCTCTGTCAATGGACTCCCATGAAGTCGACCACGTTCTGAGTCCCAGACCTGGTGGCTTAAACTCCCGCCAGACGTGTGTACATGCGTGTCCAAAATCCTGAAAGGAGAATGGTGGAGAAGGGATTGCAGTGTGGCCACCCCCCCTGGGGGGTGATTTCTCACTTTCTGTCTCTCTGTCTCTCTCTTTCTGGCAAGCACATGCACCCTACAGCAAAAACCTCTAAAAAAAAATGCATCATAGCTTTTCAGACAACCCAATATATCATTTGCTTGATCAGTAGCATTTAAAGCTAAAGTATTTAATGAAATCTTATTAATATGTTTGAAATTGAACACCTTTAACAATAGAATATATTTGTATTTTGATTTTACAGTGCTAATATCAATGAAGAATACAAAATAGCCACTGGAATTATTATAGTTCTTTCTGATCACTCGTATCGCCTTTGGTTTTCATCTCCCCCAAAACTTTTTTTTAAAGAATTTGTGTATCAGCATGCATTTGTTCACAAATAGATAATCAACTTTTCTTGTAGTATTGCTATTATTCTGAGCCAATATAAATTTAGACCAGAGCAAAATAATTTGGCATTTCCATAGTATTAAATTTACTAAATATATGATATCTATTAAGGATATTAAAATGTTGCCTGTAGTGCATAGATCCATTATTTCCAGAAGTTTCTATAGATTTCATGGCCATATACTTGAAAATCACAGTGTAGCCTTCATAGGAGTTTTTAGCTCTTTTTAGTTTTGTTTTAATACTGGGTTATCAAAAAAACTTGACACATTTTGGCATAGAACAACAGAAAAATACCTTATGACTTTTTTGATGACCCAATATATGCTATAATCTAATTTAGCTACATTTGACAGCTAGTCCTGGCAAATACTCCACTTAATTGCCAATAAAGAAAATAGTCGTGTATCTATAATTTGTGGAGTGAGGAGGAAGCAGAATAAATGTTTCAAACTTGAGAGGGTGCAAATAAAATTGGTTTCTGTTTCCCAGGAGTAGTATAAATAATAGATTTAACCCTACATCATGAACCAGAAGTTTCTGAGAATGAATGTTGTTTTTAGGAAATAAGTGCTTGGGGATGCATCTCTTAGGTCACTGGAGCACTGTTTAGAGCTCTGTAATGATAACACTAAATAAGTGCATTCTCTTAAAGGGAGGGATGGATTTTCTTAAACATTTAATTCTACATTAGCAGTGAAATACAGAGAGACTAACGTTGTTTCCTGCTGTGACTTAAATGTTTGAATGAATGTAAGCCTATTTGTCTACAAATTTTTATCAAGGCAAAACTTGTTTCAATCTTTAAGTAAGCTTTCTAATCTAATTTCTTTGTAACATAACACATTGAAAATACATGACTAGGTGCACATGGGATAGTAGATGAGTTTAAGAGCGTATTTTCTTAGCACACAGAGTGGAGGGCAGAGAAGTGAGAATGAACATGAGAGGCCTAATGTATGGACAGAATAAAAAGAAATGCATGACAGACACATGATTTTAAAGATGTTAAATTCACAAAAGATATATTATGCCCATTTTCAAATGTTACCCTTGGTAGAAGAAATAACAAAATTCAAATTAATAGAAATAATAATGATGATTAAAAATCTTCCAGCAAACCATTAAAGTTTAAAATCATTTTATTGGGCTAGCCAGTGATCCGGTGGCTAAAGCACCTGGATCCCGCATGGCCTATTGCATGGTTCAAGTCCTAGACCTGGTAGCTTAAAAAACACACCATACAGGTATGTGTGTGTATGATCAAAATCCAAAGAGAATGGAGGAGAAGGAATTGAGGTGTGGCCTTCCCCCCAGGGGGTGATTTTTTACTTATTCTCTCTTTGTTTCTCTGTCTCTCTCCAGCAAGTATGTAACTCTATAATAAAAAACATTTTAAAACATTTTATTATGATTATAATTGGCTTTTTAATGTTTTGTGCTTTGAGTATATTATAAAAGTAAATCTTGTCAGCAATAACTTAGAGGCCTTTAAACTATTTTCACTAAATAGATTAACATATGGATCCTTAGAGTTATCAGAAAATTTATGTTAAGTTATTTAGTAAATGCCTGATTTCAAAGTTCACACTATTAACTAGCACAAATATGCTTTTATTTACTTGTCTTTTGGAGATTTTGCCTTAGAGCATGTGTGCTCGACAGGGAGAGAGAGACAGAAAGAATGAGAGGGAAAGTGTGAAATCACCCCCTGGGAGGAAGGCCATATCACAATCCCTTCTCCATTCTCCTCCCAGGGTCTTGGGCACACACGCACACACACCCAATGTGAGTTTCAAGTCACTGGGTCAAGGTGAGGTTCAAGTCGCTGGGTCCAGGATTTGGACTATTGTTGGCCCTGTGGGACTCCAGTGACATAACCACTACACCATCTGCTGGTCCTCACATATGCATTTTTTAAAGAGTAGTACTTATAGTGAACTTAGAGGAAAATTTTTATGAAACAGGAGGATATAAACATCTATATAACTCTCACTTGGTAGCAAAAGGGAGAAGATGACACTAAATTTAGGGGGTGGGGTGGGACATAGAATATCATGAGAGTATTGATTATTCAATAATTTCCAAGTCGCATAGTGCCATTAGACTTTTTTACAGAGGTTTTTGCTATAGGACCCATGCGCTTGCCAGAAAGACAGAGAGACAGAAAGCGAGAAATCACCCCACAGTGGGGATGGCCAAGGCACAGTCCCTTCTCCTCCATTCTTACTTCAGGATCTTGGGCATGCACGCTCACGTGCCAGGCATGAGTTTAAGCCACTGGGTCTGGGACTTGAACTGCCGTCACCACATGGAAATCCAGCGACATAGCCATTATACCAACGACTGGTTCCACCGTTAGACATTTTAGAAGCCAAAATGTACAGTGCTGTGTTGGGCTCCTGGGGATGAAACGTTTTTTCAGATTCTGTTGTCCTATCTTATTGAAGAGACAGGAACTGTTTCCTTGAGAAGAATTATATGTCCAATTACCAGAGGTCGTGCTTCTCTGTAAGATGTTACAAAAAAAAAGTCAGGTTTCCCAACTAGAAAAAAATCTAAATTTAAATGTTCTGGGGAAAACATATGTGATTTGTGGTTTTATTAACAGATTACAGTCAGGTAAAATTTGGAGACCTAAAATCATTTTTTAAAGTGGCCGTGAGGTAGCTACAATTAACTATAAGCTTGCTTAAGACCCATCTTCAGAAACCTTTTTAATGTCCCATTCCAGATCTTAGCATGCTCTTTTAAAATAAGGCTGTGATTGAAGTGTAATCATTCAGAATTTAAAAGGCAGCTGAAGAGGCCAGCAGGTGGTGTGATGATTGAGACACTGGACTTTATTTTAGCCAACCTCAGTTTGAGTCCCAGATCTTGAGTCCCTCCCAGGGAGTGATTTCTCAATTTTGATCTCATTATCTCTCTGTCTCTCTCTAGTGAGCACATGTACCCTATGGCAAAAACCTTAAAAAAAAAAAAGGCAACTGAATAGAGAAGTAGGAGTCGGATTTATCTATTACCCATTCATGTGTCAAGGACTAGTCTAATTTATCTGATCACTTTCTGCATGTTAGGTTTCCTGGGAAACAGATTTAGAAACTGAAATTTACATTCAGTGCGCTTCTAGGAGACAGATTTGGTGACTGTCACTTGTGAGTTAAGCAAAGAAAATCTGCAGAGGGAACATTTAAATTTAGGCAGAGAAGCCCCTCCTAAATCAAGACATGAGAAGTTTCCCTTGGAATCCTTGAATGGACCAGTCATTAGATACAAACCAACCACATGGAAGTGAGGGAGTATTACAGTCTGTTACATTGCCAATTACAGAAAATACCCAAGTCTGGGTAATTTAAGAGAATAGAGGTTTATTTAGCTCACAGTTTGGAGGTCCTAGGTCTAGGGGTGACATTGGTGAGGGGTCTTTGGGTTGCCACACAATATGGCAGATGGCAGAAGAACAGGGTCTGTATTTCTTGTGTCTCACCTAATCTCATTCTTTCTCCTTATTAAACCACTATGAGTCAATCATAGGGTCCTACTCTCATTGCTAATCACTCCCAAATAACTCATCTTTTAATACCACGAAGGTGTTAAATTTGTTGTTAATACCATTAATACCTTCATAATATCTCAACATGTAATTTTTTTTGGAGAGATTTTTGCTATCAGGCACTTGTGCTTGTCAGAAAGAGAGAGAGAAAGTGAAAAATCATGCCTGGGGGGATGACCATGATGCAATCCCTTCTCTTTCATTCTCTCCTGGGATTTTGGGCAAGCCACACACACCCACCAGGTGTGAGTCTTAAGCCTCTGGATCCGGGACTCTAACTGAGGTCAGCCATGTGGGAGTTCAGCTCTTTAACCACTATGTCACTTGCTGACCCCATAATCCATGAATTTTTAAAACTTATTTATATACTTCTTCCATGAATGAGGGAAACAGCAAGAGAGAGAAAGAGAGAGAGAGACTACTCCAACGTTGTCCTAATGCTGTGATCCAGCTAGACTCCAGCCAACCCCAAATCATGTGCAAGAATTTGCCCCATGTATTCCAGGAAGTCCCTGAAGTCAAGCTGGTAACTTCCATGTGGGATTATCTAACAGAAAATCAGGTATTCTACTATGCCATTGTCTGGCTCCAACACATGAATTTTT